ATCTCTGAAGAATCAAAAGGCTTGATATCAAAGGAAAAAAGCTTGAAAAACTTGAGTACCATACATTGAATAGGAATTAATTGGCCAACATTTACATAGCATTCATTGAAATTCATATGCATTGCATAGCATACACTACTCTCAGGAAAGTATAGTGTATAAATTCAAGAAGCAGGGGTGTTTCAAGAACCCACATAGAGAAGACAGATGTGAAGATATTTTCAAAAAAAAAAAGGGCTTGTCAGGTAAGTTCATATTCCTTGAAATAGGATGTCTTTTGGTATCAGGGTTGATTTATAAGACCTTTGGGCATAATCTCTTGAAATTCCTTCAAACACAACTTTCAACTCCTTTGGACATGATTGTCAAGGAGCAATTTACTTTTCAAAGTCGTGGTGCCTCTATTTAGAGGAGCAATTTACTTTCCAAAGTCGTGGTGCCTCTGTTTAGAGAAGCAATTTACTTTTTAAAGTCGTTGTACCTCTGTTTAGAGGAGTAATTTACTTTTTCAAAGTTGTTGAGCCTTTGATTAGAGAAGCCATTTATGTTTCTCAAAGTCATTGAGCCTCTGTCTAGAGGAGCTTTGATAAAAAAAATAAAAAGTAAAAAGGTCGAGTTGAGTCTTGATTGAGTGTCTACGTCTTTACGTAATTTTTGTTTCACAAAAAATGTGCAAAGAGGGGCAACTGTAGACACCCAATTTGGTCTAGGCCCGGATCAATTGGGCCTGGTCCAAATAGGTAAGTCTATTTTATTTATTTTAAAATTTATAAATAAAAAAATCAAACTAAAAAAAAAAAGGTTAAATGGCATGAAAATCCTTATAACATTAAAGTTAAAAAAGAATAACAAAATAAAAAAATAGTGGGCAAAATAGGAATAAAAAACCATTGTGAGATCGGGAAATTTTCAACTGAAGCCCTTACCTACGTTGGATAATCATAGGCCATCGCATCATACTGGTTTTATCCAAACACCCTAGCAGTGCAATTTGCAACAAAAAAGGGGAGTAATCGCACTGAAATGGAAGTGAATGAGCTCTAAATCAATGATTAGAAAATTGTATAAAACTTTTTTAGAGTAAATTGATCCTTCTCCAAGGAAATCATGTAAAATAATAATTGTTTATTAAATATTTTTATATGTTTTAATACATATATTTCTATGAATATAATTATATTTTTTTATCTAAAATTTTTCATGTATTAGAGATGGATCTCTTAGTCAAAAAATTGTCAATTAAAATAAATTAATTTTATTCATTTAAGTTGTTTTATTAACAAAATTAAGTTTCATATCAATAGAAATCATCGATTACATAATTAAAATTAATAAAAATAATTAATTACATTGATAATTGAACTAATATTAATTATTTTATATGACGAGTATTATATTAAAAAAATTAAAAATTTAAATTGTTTAAATATATAAATTATTTATATAATTTTATAATTGATTTCGTTTATTCAAATTCCTAACGTAGACAAAATCAACTTACGTGTTCAAACCAACTATCAAAATTTAGTTATTTGAAGTTTAAACATCATGTTTTCTCAATTAAAAAAACAAAAGAAAAAAGTTCAAACATCATGAACCGTACGGATATCTTCAGTCCTCCATTTAAGCAAGAGGAGCCGAAAAGAATTTAGGGAAAGCCATGTTGTTACATTATAAGCAACAATTTTAAATTTTTAACTATTATTGAAAGCGAAAGTAAAATATATAGTTGTCACATTACATATACGTCTTAGAGGCCTGTTTCGTGGAGCTAACTCCGTCTAAACAAAGCACTCTATTGCTTTAGAGATTAACTACTTCAGTTTTCGAACCCATTTATGTTGGACCAAAAGCTTTAATTTAAGTCACCTTAACATAAACATAATCAAATAATCAATTAAATATATAAGATACAATAATTTAACATAAATCGATCCTATTAACTTAGGTTTACAAATGAAAAGTAAAATCTATTAATTGTAAAAATTAACAAACATATAAATCATATTAACCTCATTCAACAATCGATCACTTAATAATCAATGCTCATAAGATCCTCTTAATTTCCTTTAGTCTTATGAAATATTCTTAACCCAAACAAATATATTATTATTTACCTATACCTCATATTTATATGGACTTTCTCATTCTCTTCTAATGTACCTATGCACAATATCTATATGAACCCTCTCAATCTTTTTTAATCCACTCAAATATATCATATTCATGTAGATCATTTCAGTTTCATTAAGTCCACTCACAAATATATACTTAATATATTATACTCATGTAAATCATTTCAGTTTCTTTTAATCCACTCACAAATATAAATATATAAATATACACACTAGACCCTTTCAGTTTCTTTTAATCCACTCATAAATATATAAATATACACACTTATAAGACATAAATTCCTAATATTCTTATGAGGTATCTATTCCATAAAATCATTTAACTCTTTTATATCTTTTTTTCATATCTAATTTTATAGAGACTTTATTTATTTATAAGCATACTAACTTATCTATTAAAAATCTCTTTTCTCTTAAAATTATTCTTTTATAAATTAAATTTATCTATTAAAAATTCTTTTATCTTAAAATTTTTTTTATATATTTTTTTATTCATAAAATAATATCTAATCAATCATAAATAAATCTATTACGTACTATTTCAAACAACCTATGCATTTTCACTGGGAACACTAAAGACAATAAAGATCTAGCACCCAGCATCCTATCCATCTATCATATTTCCTTGCTTTGGTCACTGCCTCGGGCAACTGTGTCAGAGCTGATATTTCATAGAAACCAGCCTTCTGCCATTTGCTGAATAGCTACCTAAATTTGCTCTTGCAGGTGACAACCAAAAGACAAGATCTAGGAGGGACTCGCTACTATTCATGAGTTTTCACTATTCCAACGTTTGGGTAACCGTTGATTATTTCATCAATTGAAAATCAATCCACAAAAGTATTACAAGGTTTGGCGTCAAGGGTTAGATGTGATATGCCAAATGCCATTTACCTTGTATTTTAGATTCAATATCAGATTACTTTGTCTTGCACATCCAAGCCATGTTGATTTCAAGGCCACATCATTTTCTTTCCCTACCAAAAGAAACCGAGTAATATGCTATAAACTCATAGACGACGGTGTTGTTTAATACTGTACTCTATGGTTAAAAGCATTTATAAATGAAAACATGATTAACAAAGGAGAGGGTAAGAAGCTGATCACAAAAAAAAAATAAAAAAGAAAAAGTGGAAGAAAAGGAAAGACGAGGGGGTGACCCAGGAAAAATTAATTGTTCTCAGCTGATTTGATTCGAAAATGTAGTTTTCACGATGAATTTGCAGTTGAACCTTGGCACCTTGCGTATTGCTGTTGACAACCATCACCTTCTCACCAAACTATAACTCATCGAAAAAGGAAGACCATCATCATGTTAAGAACAAAATAAGTGATTATCGATTACTAACCTTGAAAAAACACAAGGTGGAGAGAAACAATGCTCTTTGCTTTCGTCCCTAGTACTATGCTAGTGTAACAAAATATCCGAATAACGGAGTTCACATTCAAAGAAATAAAATATATAGGGGTGATTCAATGATCGATTCGAACGATTCGGTCGGTTTGATTTGAAAAAATCAATAACCGATTTAATCGATTTTCATTTAACAAATAATCAAATCAATCGAATATTATTAAATAATCGATCATAATCGAACCGATTAAAATCGATTCGGTTCGATCGGTTCGGTTAAATAATCGATTTTTTTTATCATTTTTTTTATTATTAATAATTATTTAATCACAAATTTAATTCAATAAAATTCAAATTCTAGTATCATTCAAACTAAATTATTAAAGAATTTAATAATTTCAACAATCTTTTACAAAAAAAAAATGAAAATATTTATCTCAATTTTTTTTATTTTTAATTATTAAAAAGTTGGTTAATTCGATTAGTGCGGTTATTAATTTTAAAAACGAAAAATCGACCGAATTAATCAATTTAACCGATTTAAAAAATCAATTATAATTAAAACCGAATAAATCGAATCGATTTAACCGAATTCGTTCGGTTTCGATCGATTTAGTCGGTTCAAACTGACTTTTGCCGCCTAAAAATATGTTAATATAATAACAAAAAAATGGTGAAACCCTGAGTGCAATCAATATGAGTGAAGCACAGAAAATCCCAAAGTGGAACAATCCTCGTCATGTGAATTCCATTCGAGCACTTTGACAAAAGCATGGAGGGCATTATAAAGGATCCTCTGTTGCAGATAATCAGATTACCATGGCTCCTACATATAATCCAAAAAATATAGGTGAAGGTTTTGCTAGTAAGAAGTCCGAAACCGCATGAAAGGATAAAGGGGGAGAAAATTGGTGGATTTTTAATGCCCATATGCTACAAGTCTGACTAAAGATCATAATTGATTACATAAAATTAAAATTAAGAAATGGACCAACCTCAACACCCTCATATTTTTTAAAAGTCGATATTAACTTTGACATAGAGCATATTGGTGTTCCTGATTTTTTTTTTTTTTTTTATAGCCTGAGCAGCCCTCTCAGCAGTGAGCAGTCATTCAGCAGATAAATACTCGTATTCATGAATGCTCGTCCCACCCAGTGACTTGTACTTTAGAATTGTAGTTTTAAGTTCTATTCTCTTTCAATGTTGAGAAAGATTGCACCTTTTCTTTTAATGACTTACCATGAAATCTTTAACCTTACTCAAAAGCTATCAGGTCCGGCTATTTAAAACAAAATGGCCACATTTGTTCATGCTGAGGTGGCATGTATGGAAATGAAACACCCTGCAGACAGCAGTTCCTATTTTTTGATAGAAAGTAAACTATGCAATGAGAACTAAAACTAGGCAAACTCGATGACAGCAAGGTTTCTCTCTTGGTCAGAAGACGAACTTCAATTTAACTATCAAAATACAGGAAAAAAAAAGTCAATTTAGGAACCTTTTATTGGTTATTTGAAAAATAAAAATAAATCATTTCCTTACAACAACACAAGATACATGGAAATTAAGGAGTAGGTGTAGTTGGATACCAAGGAAATAGGCATTCAAAGCTATATCAAGATATGAATTGAAGTTCCGTCAGCATCATCCAACAAGCATATAAGCCTATTGAAACACCAGTAACGACTTTACAAAATACCTTGTATAGAAATTAGCACACAACAGAAAAATATAACATCATTAGAATAGCTACGGAAACCTAAACAAGGGTATGATTGGACTATACTAATTTTGCGGGCTTATCATCACTGTCACTGAGGTCATCTTCCATGCCATGAAAGTTCATCCTTGCAGATGCCTGCTTTGACCAACTGACTATCTTTTCTGCCTCCCGGCTAATCTTGTCTTGTTCCTTGAGAGCCTTTCTGAGCATCTTTTGCCCTTGTTTGACTGAAAAAGTAGCCAAATCGGATAGAAATTCATCAGAATCAAGAGCGGTACCCGGCACCCTATATGCCTTGTCCTGTTTCTTAAAAAGCCTTTTGGGAGAACACCCAAAGCAACCAGCTTTTTGGGGTGGAGAAGAATCCTGAGGCAAAGGAGAAGCAAATGAGGGAGAATTTGATGTGAATGCATTTTGGGTGAAAGAATCTGAAACAGATGCAGGTAAAGAAGGTAGGTGTTTGGGCATGAAATGGTCATTCCGATTTGGGCTATGCCTGGCGTTGGCATCAGACAGGTAACCCTTGTCTGAATTTTGATGAGTTGTATAGCTGACAGGCACAGGAAGGGATTTGAGTCTGCGGAATCGGCAGTCCAAGTCGGAGGGAAGGACGGAGTGGGTGACAGCAGAGCAGTTGATAGCAGAGAGCTGCTCCAGAACGCACAGGTCTTGTGCTTGGGAGATCACTTCTTCTACAGCCGACTCATCTGTATCAGATAAGAAATCAAAATCTGCCATCCTTTTTTAGGAAGAAGAACAGAGAAGTTGTTGGGTGTGATTTCTGAAGGTGGAATCAGCTAACACAGTGTTCAATGTTCATCAAAAGAATTTTTGTTTTGAAAAAAAAAAAAAACTGTGATTCACTTGCACTGTTGGTCACTGCTCAGAAGGCAGAGCAAGTGTAGGAGGAGATTCTTATGCGCACCGCAAGGCAAAGCGTTTTAACGCTTGACTGACATAACGGCTAATTCCGGGTTGGGGTCTTCGGCTAAGACTTACGGGAGGCTGGGGCCCAAAACTCATTCTTTTCGGCTAGGGATATTTTTGACCAACCAAGGCCGGCTTCCATTATTCCCATTTTTGGTGCAGGAGCAGGGCTGTTATTAGAACCCAGCCCTGAGCCCTTGACGTGGTGGGTTCTTCCGCACAAAGTATAGACTTTTGACCTTAGGAGCAAACGGATTTTCCTACTGAACTTTTTTACTTTTGGCTTCGTTTAGCCCAAAAAAAAATTCTAAAAAATAATTTTTTATATTTTATATTTTTATTTATAAAAAAATTAATTAATTAATAAAAAATAATTTATTGATCAATAAAAAATAAATTTTTCTTTATATTTTTCTTTAAAAAATATTTTTTTAAAAAAAATTATTTTTGAATAAGATCATTTACCAAGTTTCAATGTATAACTTAACTCACATCCAATCTTACAAATTATTTTTTAAATTCGCACTTAATTTGATCTAATTTAAAATATTATTTTTTAATAAAAATTTTTATTTAATTTTAATTAAAATATTAAAATATTAATGTTAAAAATCTTGTAATATTTTAATTTTAAATATTTTTATATTTTTATTCAAGCAAATCTCATATATAATTGTTTCAATTCAGATTTAATTAAGATTTTATTAAAAAAATTTTATTTAATTTTAATTAAAAATATCAAAATATTAATATTATTGTTGAAAGTTTTCTGATATTTTAATTGTAAATATTTATATTTTGTATATTATTAAACATAAATATTTTTAATGTTTCAATAATAAATAGTATTATAGTAACTAGTTTCTTCTTCCCCATGGGTGGCAAAAGAGAAATGGGAAATGGTGAATATTAGATTAAGTATGCTCCATCTACCACCGAATCCTATCGTAATAAAGCTGATGTATTTTCCATTTCGAAAGAACAAATTTTGGCAGTTCAAATGTAAAATATATCCCACATTTTTTCTTTTCTTCTTAAAACAAAAAAGAGAAGGATATCCAGTCCGCAGCCAGATCTTACTCAAGAGTGACGCTTAGGCACGACATACCCCCACCATACCCATACAACAACATTCAGGTATAGCCAATTGACCTGAGCAGAATGCAACTGAAACCGATTTTTTTTCTTTTGTTCTAGAAAGAATCAAAAGTTAATAGTCACCGTCCTGCTCATCTTTCTGATGAGTTAAGTGTAGGTGGGGAGAGGTCTTTTTTTTTTTTTTTTTTTGCCGTTTGGTGGGGAGAGGATTTAATAATATGCTAAAAGGACCTTTCTTCGAGCATATTAGTAATAATATTCCTTGGTAAAAAAGAACAAAATTAACAATGCTTTTCTTCTCCCTGCCTCTCCAACCAATTCAAATCCTTCCTCCAATTTGTCCTTTCCTTTCCAGCTGAGTTGTGCCCTGCCCAAGGACATAGCAAATTGGAGGTTCATCCCATTTCTCCCAACTCCAAATGATCTTTTATTGTGCAGCCAAAAGTGATCAGCAACAGATGAAAAACAACATCCAGCCAGAAAAAGTTTGAACTTCCTAAAGCGTTATGCTCAAAATTGTCATTTCTATTCTCTCTCTTTCTTTTTTCCTTTTTGTTACCAACAATCTTTTTCATGGTTAAAAACTTACAATCTCCAACAGTTGCCAATGTTCCTTGGGAAAACATGGAGAAAAAACTGGAAGCTCTACTTCTCCACAGGCAACGAATCAGGTCTGCAGATATCCCCACGACAAAGAGGGCATACCCTGGAAGCCATAAACAAGTCAGCAAAGCGTCTAGACTTCTCCAAAACTAAAATAATTTTACTGCAAATGTAGTAGCACACAGAGCATGAAAAAGAAAAGAAAGGAAACCAATGCAACAACTCAGCAGGAAATAGAAGGACCAGTTCAGTTTTGAAAATTGTTTTCCATTTTCCATTTTCCATCTCCATTTTTACATTTTTCAAGAAAGCTATTTTAAATAAAGTAATAAAATGTTGAAAATCTTGGTTTTCGATTTTCAAGAAAGCTATTTTAAATTGTTTTCCACCGTTTTAGCTATAGCTCAGAAACCCTTGTTTTCTAATTTTCCAAATTTAGTTGATGTACCTTATTTTATAGATCATATTAAAGTAAAAATGGAGATAGAAAATTAAAACATTTTCCAAACTGAACAGACCCTTAACTTTTTCAAAGTTTGAAAAAATAGGTCATTAGTACAAACCGGAAAAGCCTGCGTGCGTGTTTGTTACAGATATTATGCATGCAACTGAAACAAAACCTGTAAAATTACCTTCCAGATCACAGTTAGCGAGAGGGAACACTGTTGACAAGAGGCCAAGAAATGTATAAAAATTCTGTTCAGTTTGGCCAAGTGAATTTAAAGCACCTTCCCAAAAAGGAAAATTTACAAGCTTTTTTTGCAATCCTTCCTAAGTTTACGCAATGGAAGTATCAATCATAGAAATTAGGCAGGGCCGATCTAGCCAAAAGTAGTTAAAAGAAAGTTGTTATAAAACAAGAAAATATTGATTATGGCCATCAATTAGACAAAGATGTTAATAACCGGAAAGAATTAGTTTCCTTATTAAATTGGTGAGGCCTTGCAAGACTGTTTATGTTATGCTTATGAAATGAACGAATATAATTCTCCATACATTCCACCACCAGGTTAGGTGGTGAGAAAGTGTGGCAAATCCTTCACAAATATATTAAGGATCAAAATGCCTATGATTCGGTAGAAAGCAACAGGTCATTTATTAGGAATTACAGAAAATGCAAGTAAGGGGTAGATTGATGGGAAGGAAAAAATATGCATACGTCTGCCATTCCAAAGGCCATGTCATCCCAGTATCATCCTTTGGCTGTTTAATATTTGTTGTATGACATACATCAGACAAAATTCATTTGTCTCAATTTTTAGAAGGGGAATATCAGCTGGATGAGTCTTTCAAGTCTTATATGACTGTTGATCTTTCTGTTCCACTTTACTAATGACAACCTAACATGTGGCGTGCAATCCATGATGTTCTCCTTCAGGAGAAGAGATGCCATTTGACCAAAAGGCCATTGGTAGTACATGTCTATTTTATGTAACACCGTTAATCAAATATTTACAATCAAGTTAAATTAAAAAGAATTGCAATAAGAGTTATACCTGTGAATCTCCATGAGCCATTTGTCTATACAAGTTCTGTGAAATTCATGATTAGAAGGCAATATCCGCATGCTATCCCTCTCCTCATACTCCACAAGGCATATGTAACATCTGTTAATTGAAATAAGAAACAAAAAAGTGCCTGATTGCATACTAGAAATTGCAACTAGTTGGTTTTGCAAATGCAACTAGTTTCAGCTCTTGACATCTAACTGAGAAAGCCAGTGCTGCCAATAGTTTTACCATTTCCATAGTCATGATTCACAAATTAATACAAATAATAGCAAGATATGAAAAGATGGCCAGAAGTAGAAGAGCATTGTATATATAGTAGAATATTAGTACTTATAACTAATAGAAATTAGTTAATTGTGGATAACATTAACTATTCCCAATACACCCAGTCTCCATTACATGAACAATTTAAAAGTGTTCCAATATGTCATCTAAATCTTGACTTGAGGTCAATGGAGGAGATGGATCTCTTTTTTCTTGAGGGGACCTAGCTATATATATAATACAAATGTCATCCATTTATTAGTTTAAAGGTTTTTTATGCTAATTAATTAATGTCATGGTAAAGATTTCCCTAAAATTTCTGGCTGCTTTTGTGTGTGTTTTTTCTCTGCCTTTCTGTGTGTTTGAGGCTTGATGGAGGTCTGTATTCATAGGGTTTAATATCTGAGGACCGTAACCTGGAAAGGAGTTTCGATTCCCTTTAAATTCAACGTTTTAATTCTCAGTCAACATCTTCAAATACGAAGGAAAGCAGAAATAAAAATATGGCATCATTTCAAGTGTGCACAACTAACCAAGAATCCCTGTAGGCCTGTCCATGGAATCTTTGTTAATTGCCATTGGCATTCCACAATAATAACTCGTTAGTTCATTATTTGTATTTACAACAAGGATATTAAAAACACATAATAATGTGTCCACAACAAGAACAACAAAAACTAGTGGATGCAAAACACTAGGCTGCATGTATTCACAAGATGAATGCTAAAAGAATTGCGCTGACCATACTAAGAGGCTGTTAAAAAAACGTAAACCTAGCAATGCAAAAAATCAAAGACAAGAATGATCCAAACATTTCTTAGAAACCGAGAAGGAAGGAAATTTTGGGTTGGTTAATGCTAATTGCTAACGATGTTCCCATTTAGCACCGATTAAATGAGAAGTTCAAACTAGACAATTGCTGCCATAAGGAATCAAACAGCTAGCAGTTCAACTAGAAAAGATAAATTTTAACCTTCATCGGATATTTCTGACAAGCAATCTCTGTCTTCACCAGTAATATTGAATTTCAAGCTACACATCTTCTGAAGTTGATAAAATATTAATAATATTATTATAAACATGAGGCAAAATGGCAGCAAAAAGAGAAGAATAGAAACACACTCTGAATAGTTTTGCAGTCTAACAATTTCAGATACTAATACAAAAGTTATTAGAGAATGTAAATTGAATAAAATTTCAGTCTGTCTCAATATATTTCTAAGGGAGTTTTCCAATCACTGAAACACTTACAGCACCTCTTAAAATTTTAAAGCCATTACAGGTATTCTGAAAACCTTAAACCTTTTCACCAAACACCCTCTATCAAGCAAATCTCACAGCCTCTAAATGAACCAATAAATAACTGACAATCCTATTGCTTATATATTGTCAGACAAAAAAAAATTGAAATAGGGAATATTCCTGTTCACAGAAGCTGTAGTTCTACTCTTAATGGCCTTTTTTTATGATTTTCAAACTTCAAATTAGTTGCAGTAAATGAAATTAGAATCACATCACAGGAGACAATCAAAATTAAAACATCAGTACAACGAACCATTTGCATCAAATTAGAAGCAACAAATATTTAAAAATGTGGAATGAGTAAAGACCAGACATCAATCTAGATTGACTACCAAATATGTTAACAAACAATATATAGAAACTTAATTTAATCACTATT